CTAATAAAAAAAAAAAAAAGATAGTCCCTACCTACCTTGACCTTAATCTTTTCAAGAAACACAACATTTTTTTCCTAGCCCTATAAACAGCAAACTATAGAGGTGTCCATGTCAGACACACAGCCGCTATCCCTCTCCCACCAGGACAGCTGGAACAGTAATATTGATGTTCTGCTGTGCAGGAAGAATCGCTCTCCAATAGACCAGCCTGACAATCCATCCATTTTCCATTCACAGAGCGGATAGCTTTATTAATAGTTTGATTTTCTGCTCTTAGAATAGAGCAGTATTCAATCTTATAGATTGGTGTGGCCTTTTTTGTACATAGAGGGTAAAAGTTGCATAGAGTCAAGAGAGTCAACCCAATACTTTGGATTGCTGATTCATATACTTCATCATAAGATCTAATATTATACATTTTTGTACAAAAACCATCATGAATAATAAATATGATTGTTACAAAATATGCATATTGCATAAAAGCAAACATATTTGATAATAGATATGATATGTTAGGAATACTATATATTTATTTGCACTCATGCAGACATAACCAAAGAAAGAAATGTGAAAATGACTGACTAAAAAAGTAACTTACTAGATGAATCAAGAACAAACTTACAAAACTATGAAATGTACAATTACTTTAAGTTAACCTTTTGACTTCTTTTCCCTGTATGCTACAACCCCTATTGTAGCCCCTAATCCCTCTACTTCTCAGTATATAAACACCACTTGTGTGCAGTAATGAAATAAACTCATTGACACAAGCCTTTAAACAAGTCCAACCCAAAACACAACAATCTCTGTACTTAGTAACCATTTCTATAGGCTAAAAACTAGGTCAATATGAGCCAATACCCAGTTGGGCTATCTGTGTAATTGTTTGTAGAATTGGGGCTCTAAATGTTTTAGATGCCGTGAACTACAACAGTGCGAATCGGCAACATGTGTACCGTTTTCCACCCGAGTTAGCGCCAAATGAGCGGAACGGAAAGAATCACTTCCATGCAAACAAAGGCTAAGTACTGTCTGTGCATATACACACGTACCGTATACCGCATATCGCATACCGCATATCGTACTCCTAGTCTAAATCCAGCTATAATACGATGATTTAGTGGGTTATAAGGTTATAATACGTAGGCTTTAGAGGGTGGTTACATGAAACCACAGTGGATGTAGACGGTTAAACCGATGCACCACAGAAGGTCGAACACTGCCCGATCTGAGCAGCCCTTTGTCGCAGGAAAGGAAGGCCGGACAAAAGAGGCATTGGACAAAATTAATAAGGGCAGACCTGGCCTTTTCTGTTGGCTAGCCATGGTGCTTCTCTGGTGTGTGGGGTGTAACTTAAACGGGGGAGAGTCATTAACTGTTTAAGGAGGACCTTAGACTCTCTTCTGCCACCAAAAACGTTTATAAATATAATATATAATATAATAAAGACATTGCAGCACTTGCAATGTAAACCTGGAGTCAGAATTGCCCTAAGGAAGGTGACAGACGGTCACCGAAACGTCGGCTGAATATAAAAGACTTGCATGTGTGAAAAGAGTCTCTACTCAGTGACTTACCAACCTGATGAAACTAATAACAGTTTTAAGAAAGAAAAAAAATTACAATTATAATCTTATATTTAACACAACTTGAACAAGTGTAATGGAAAGTGTATATACGGTGTTTTCAATAGTTTTGGCTCCTCTAACAAGTGGTATTAAAGCATTTGTTCTACCCCCACACTACAGAAATAAAGGAATAGGAAATAGCATAGTAACAAAACAAAGAACCCACACAACATCCACAAACAATTATAAACACGGGATACCCAATAGATACCCATACACAGGAACTTCAAACATGACCAGATATTCAGTTACCAGAAAAAGTAACGATCCAAAAAATGCAACATTGTTAAAAGTTGATCTTTTTTTTACACAACATATTTTCTCCTTTTTGAAAATTCTTTGGACGATTTTTAAAAACAGAGGAAAGCAATGGAATGGCTGTGCTAGATACTTATATCAAGATATGCTCTCAATTTTGTATAGTTGAACAGCATGAAAAAAAATGTGCTATGTGTGATTCAATATTTTGTACAGCCAACAGGGATTTATCATAATTAACTACTGGTACTGTAAATTAATTAAGCATTACAGTTCTACCCCCACAATACAGAAATAAAGGGATAGGAAATAGCATAGGAACAAACAAAGAACCCACACAACATCACAAACAATTATAAACACAGAAATACCGAATATTAAGGCAATAAATAAACAATACACAGGAACTCTAAACATGACCAGATATTCTCACTTATTTACATACCAAAAGGAATCATACAAAAAATGCAGCATTGTTAAAAGTTGATCTTTTTTTAAACGGCACATTTTCACCTTTTTGAAAATTCTTTGAGCGATTCTTAAAAACAGATCGAGGAAAACATTTTGAGCAACAGAATGGTTGTGCTCTATACTTGTATATATATATAAGATATTTGAGAGATGCAAAGACTCTTTTGTATAGTTGAACTGCATGAAAAAAATGTGCTATGTGATTCAATGTTTTGTACAGCCTTCGGGGATTTAGACTTGACAAGTGCAAGAAGGAAGCTAGTAACTGCGATATTTCAACTGTCAGGGTATCTTATAAAACTGTCAGCGAGATTTTCTTGTAAGGAAAGGGAAAATCGCAGATACAAGCCGTGGTGTGTTTTGATGGTGATGGTTTTTTGCGGAATGTAAAAGGATTTATAGGAATACCTCATAACATAAGGCTTAGCATGGTATTGTTGGTTTGTTATGATAAAGACTGCAAGGTTGACAACCACAAGAAAGAATCTAGTAACTGTCAATGAGGTTTTCTCGTAAGGAAAGGGAAAATCGCAGATACGAGTACAATAGGACCGTGGTGTTTTGATATATAAACACAAGCCTCCTTGTTTGATGGTAGTGGTTTCTTGAGGAATGTAGAGAGATGGAATACCTCATAAGCATGGCTGTACTGTAGGTTGGTTATGATATAAAGACTGTAAGGTTTGGTATAACTGTCAGACTCGTGTCGTGCTCAGTACTTACCTTAGTACAGAGGGTTAGAAGAATATTTCTCGTAAGGAAAGGGAAAATCGCAGGACCGTGGTGTTTTGATGGTGTGGTTTCTTGTGGAATGTAAAAAGATGGAATACCTCAGAAGCAATTGGATGTGCCTGTACTGTAGGTTGGTTATGATAAGACTATAACGTAATTTTGTTAAGCCGATATAACTGTTTCGTGGCCGAGTGTAGTGCAGTACTTACAGAGGGTTTGAAGAATTCCAGTAGATGGGCTCTAGCATGGCTCCCAGCCGGCTGCCTGCCGCCCCGAGGCCGGACAGCATCACCACCAGTAGCGCCGCAAACATCCCCGGGTCCCGGGCGGGCCTCACGCCGCCCAACACGGCAGCATGCCGCGACGACACTCCGTAGAACACGCACAAACACAGCAACTCCGGCACGGGTGGCTCATTGGCATTGTCAGCCTGCGAGGTCCCAAACCGCGAGTTCGAATCTCTACCTCAGCTGCGGAGGGCTCCACATGGGGGTTACCACAGCGCCGGACACGCCAGTTTCACTTTTACCCGCTACCTGAAAACACTTTCACTGACGTCTGGATCTGTAGAATGAAAAGCTTTAGTCAAACCCGTCCGCTCGAATTTGCGTTACAGGAGGATCTGTATGGGGGTTCTTGGAGCACCTCACAGTTACAAAAGTACTGGAGAGCGAAAAAATCTACAATTTTTCTGGATCTAAATCTGTATATCGAAATATGTGTGGGGGTTTTCACCGCTCAGCTCTAATAATTTTCATAATTAGGTTCATTATTAACCGCATGTGGACCCTCATTCCGTTGTTCATTGATGTTCAAGCAGATATTGGGTGCAAAATTGTTGCCTTTGCCAGAGAAACGGAACGGAAATTATCTTTCCTTCAGACATCTACTTGGAGGTTTCCCATGTGGGGATTTCGGATATTCCTCACCGCTCCTACAGGTGGCTCTGCATGGGGGCTTCAGCAGTTCCACAACAATGAGCCGTAGATGATCCGTCAAACTCCCCAACTGCGCCAGAGCCTCTCAACAATGAGTTTATTTCTTTCATTGTAGCCGAATTCTCTCAGAAGAAGACTATAGACTGTTTGTGATCAAACACTCAAGGAGTAACGGTGTAAAAGCGGGAAGATCAGAATTACCATGTACGTACACACACACACACACGCACACACATAAATATTTTTGCGCATACATACACATACACTTCATGCCACATACACATATGTATATAAGAATCAGAAGAGTAGAAACAGAAAGACACTCCTGGTCCCGGGACGGGGATCTCACGCCAAACCCGGGCACCAGTTCAGACCCCGACGCTCTAACGACACAGCTAAAAGCTCTAGACCCGACGTTTTAACATTGTTATTTGGTTGAACATTTTCTCTTCAGTCCTCCCCTACTGTCGAAGCAGAGGATTGGGTTTCGCTTAATTTAGGCGTGTTTTTAGGCTTTTTATCGGGGTTTCACTGGAATCTTTTCCCAAGCAGCGTGAAAAAAGATTCCAGTAAAAGAAACCCCGATAAAAAGCCTAAAAACACGCCTAGATCAATCAAAAACCCAAACCTCTGCTAGCTAAGCCTGAAGAGCAGTCCTCCCTGTCTTACAGTATGCCGTTGTCGCATGAGAGCTCCGCCCGTTCCAGTACAAACAGTCTCTAGCGGAAAATTAGAATTTCCAATGAGTTGCCATGGCAGCGGCGGCTCCGTTAGCGGGAACGCCGGGTGTTGTGCTCGGGTAAAACCGCCGGATTTATGGGCGCAGCACAAAAGAAAGACACTCTAGCCTCTACCAGACTCCTTTGCAGGCTGAACAAATTGTAGAAATCGGCCTAAAATGGGATTTAATTGGCCAGGGGAGTTGGCCGGATTTATAGGAGCAGTAGCCTCTACCAGGCACTGCGGGTCGCTGAAAATAAAAAAAAGTAGAAATTGGCCAAAATAAAGGGAATAGTATACCAGGGGAGTTGGCCAGCCAGAGAGGGACATTTTGCGACTCACGGAATGTACCATCTAAGTCTCTGGTCGGCTAACTCGCCTGGTATACTATTCCATATATTTTGGCCAATTTGTACTATTTTTCTAGCGATCCGCGGTGCCTGGTAGAGGCTATATTCGCAGCACAAACTGGTCTGATAGAAAGGCCTAACTTGTCTCTAGCCTCTACCAGGCTTCAGAGGCGGCTGGAAACTGAGCATCAAACTGAAATCCCTATGACTCATATGAGTTTAGAGGGATAAATCCACTGGTATGTTATCTGTCTGTATTGTCGATATTTTCCTGAGTCATATCTGAAGCCTGGTAGATCTTAATACCTCCTTGGAAGAGGCTAACTAGTCTCTACCAGACCTCTTAATTCGTGGACTAAAAAATTAGATTCGGTGGGGCTTTATGTTGGCCTCCTGTATCCAACGTTCGCCCAACAATGTCCCCGGACGTATTATCTTCAAGTTGGTAGGTTTCTTTTCAGCAGTGCAGCGGTGCCACTGGCGATGTACCGACAACACGCACTCCCGTTATCAACCTTAATGATGCGGTCTATAAGTGACATCTAGCGGACGTTTGAAGACTGCAGCAACCGTTGCCCAAAGTTCCGCACATTCTGGGCGTTTCAAAAGGTACATCTAAAAAGGTAATAAGTTAGGCAATGTTACAACATCCACAAATGTTAAAATGGTGCCGAAGATCTTTATTAAATGCTAACTTTGATTTTAAAAAATGCCCAACTTAACACTGGGTTGTTAAATGTCCAACATAACATTGGGTTACAGTGAAGTTCAAATGGGGATTGTGTTACTTTGCCTAAAGTTAGGGAAACTCACCAAAACTTCTTGACAATACAGATGTTACAATTTCCAAGGAAATGAGAATTTCGTCATGCGTTCCAAACAAAGATGGCCATGACGGAATTCTCGTACCTACGTACATTTACGCTCGTACATTACGTCAAGGCTATGAATTATCTTATGTCAACAGCTTGTATACGTTAGTACGGGCGTGGTGACTAATTATATGTCGTCACAGCTCAGCTGTAACTTTTCCCTCGCTAAAGTATTTAAAAAAAGCATATGTACTGACTACTGCAGAGAACGTTCCTACACACGGACAAAATATCCCAAACTCACCCACTGCATCATGAAGTTCCTCATCGTTGCGATTGTGCTGGCCGTTCTGGCTAATGCAGAGGTGAGTTCTATATTAACGTTGCTTGTTGCTTTGTCCCTTAACCAAAGTCAGAGTAATGGGGGCCGTCTAACCTACACTCTCATATTTGCCACATCACAGAAACGGTGCCATCGAGGCCTTCTCAAGAATGCATAGTAGATATGTACATTGTTTAAAACAGAATTCGTTCTCGATACTGTATCTGTCTAAAAACCTTTCTCAAGATAGAAATATGTGTAGCATCTACTTAAGCCTATCATTCGAGAATATCTACTCAGTGTGTTTATTGAAATTTCTTATTCTACTTACTTTGTCCATTCTGAGTCATGTGAGTGACTGAAGATAATACTTTTTTCTTACCAAAAGGCCGCTCCGAGGTTCAAGTCCAAGATGGCGCCGCAGCCCCGAGTGTAAGTAGAGATATATCTACACACGTATGTTTATATGTTATTAGTGTTTGGGTGGATGGAATGCCATTTTTAGGTTCCCCAGGGGCACGTTTGCACTTAAAAATGCCCGAAACACACCAAAAAAAAACACGCTTCGTATAGAAAACATTAAAACATTAAACATAAAACATTAAAAACACTGCATAAATATTTAATGTACGTGCACACGCATTAACATCACATTAAACACATTAAAATGGGGCAATATGAAAATTGGTGAAACCGCAGAATGACAGGAAGGTCGAATTGGAGGTCAAAGTAGTATTCCGTAAGCCGGGCGGAATTCATTACAAGCGCCATGTCACGGGTACTTTGATTGGTTAATCAAAATTATATTGACCAATGGATGAACATCACACAAACGTTTTTGTTGCCTCCACAGAAGCTGCCACCAACTAAGCCACAACACTGGTGGCGACTTCGGTGACTTTGACACCGCCTGCACCATGCACTGTCTCATTCTGGGCTATCCGTCGGGCGGACATTGTGACGAACACAACGTAAGTGTCGTATATATATTTTTCATGGCAACTTTCCTGTGGTGTTAGCTGTTAATAGAAATTAGTCTCCATCTTTCACATTTTTCTTGTGAATCTAGGAAGACCTGAAAAGTAACATTTGCAAAACAAATGCATATGGTCTGCTCTGTAAATTCGTACTCAAATAAATACATTGAATTTCATATATATGGTCACAGGAGTCTAAATCCCTCCTACTATAAAATTGCAACATGATGTAACCCAACACCAGTTACCATGGTGACAGACGTCAATAAATCATGTCATTGGCCAGGTCAGAGGTCACTGTTTGGAGAATAAGAGGAAACTGAGCAAAAACAATATGTTTTCCTTAGGTAAACATAAATATGAGAATATGCAAAAATGTACCAAGTTGTTACTGTTGTACCAATATGTTATCATGTGTTAATGATATTCATCCTTTATTTTTTTTCACCAACTCTCAGATCTGCGTTTGCTCTTAGAGGAGGCATCAAAGTGGCGTTGCCATAGCAACGGCGGTCTGTCAACACAAATAATCAACCCTGACCTGAAACCTGGCTATTGTTTGTTGCATCGCTCGAGTGATTTATTCATAAAAGTACGAAACATGGTCCAGAGGAAGCTAGGGGAGTCTTATAGAGTTAGCTCATATATCGTATGTCAATGTCGAAAGTTATATGTGAAGATATGTAAGTATTGTACATTTGGGAATGCATCTATAGTAGCGACACCTGTGCTGCAGTGCAATGTGAACCAGTCAGAACTGCCCTGAGGAAAGTGACAGACGGTCACCGAAACGCCGACTGAATAAAACACTTCACCTTAGTTGTGTAAAAAGAGTCTCTTTACTCTGGGATTTTGTTAATAGATAATAGAGATGTTACAACCATTTTCGAGGAAACGCGTACGAGAGAGACGATTTCATCATGCATGTATCCCGACGACAAATGGCCGTGACAGAAGTCCCGTACATACATTGTGTCAAGGCTATGGGTTATCTTATGTCAACAGCTTGTACGGGCGTGGCAACTAATTATATGTCATCACATCAACTCAGCTGCAACTTTTCCCTCGCTTAAGTATTATGAAAAAGCATCTGTACTGACTACTGCAGAGAGCGTTCCTACAAACATCCCAAACCGATCTACCGGAATTTTTCCCGCGCAAATAGTATAAGAAAACGCGCGAACACAGACCTTTGCAGACGATATTTCTGACTTACGTTCCAACCGGACCCACTGCATCATGAAGTTCCTCATCGTTGCGATCGTGCTGGCCGTTCTGGCTAATGCAGAGGTGAGTTCTAACTTCTATCTATAACGTTGCGTGTTGCTTGGTCCCTTAACCCAACTAATCAAGGTTGTGGGACACTCTAACGTACACTCTCATAACACTGCCGGGTGCTATTGGACCGCCACAGTCTCGTAACCGTCGACGCCTTTCTGAACGGTCGTCACCTTTCTACATCTATCGCTGACTGGTCATTGCTATATCCGAGCGTCTCATAACTTTTTTTGGGTTCACAAACGTATAAAACGTAATATAGACTATAAAAAGCACAAGCTTGGATTCGAACCCGGGTCAAAAAGCGTAGGTCTTCCAATTCTTATTATTTCTGCTGTACTATTATGAGTTGTGAGTGACTAAAGATTATACTTTTTCTTTCAAAAGGCTGCTCCGAGGTTCAAGTCCAAGATGGCACCGCAGGCCCGAGTGTTAGTATGTCCACATAATATACTACTGTTTGTAAGGCTGTTTTTTTGGTTTGGACGGATGGGATGTCGTTTTTTTAAGTTCCCCACTGGCAAGTTTGCAATTCAAAATGCTTGAAATATCTAGAAAACGCTTCCTATCGAAAACTCATTAAAAACACTGTATAGAAATGCCATGTACATACACATGTATGGGGGAAATGGTGAAACGCAGACTGAAAGGAAGGTCAAATTGGAGGGCAACATGTTATTCCATAGTCTAGGAGGAATTGAGATCATATAACGTCATGTAATAGGTTTGATTGATGGTTAAACGAAATTATATTGACCAATGGATACACATAAACAAAGAAATAAACAAACATTTTGTTGCCCCAACAGAAGCTGCCACCAACTGGTCCTCAACATTGGTGGAACCGACTTTGGCAGTGACAGCGACACCGCATGCGCAGCCCACTGCCTTATTCTGGGCTATCCTTCGGGCGGACATTGTGACGAACACCAAGTAAGTGTCGTGTGTTTTTCATGACAACTTTCCTCACTTCAACACGACTTTCCTCACTTCACTCAGGTGTAAATGAGTACCTAGCTTCGGTTAGGGACGTCCCTCGGTAGAACGTTAAATGGAGGTCCCGTGTTTGGGGAGAGCCATACCCCGTGCACGTAAAAGAACCCACCAAACATTTAGAAAAAGAGTAGGGGCATGCCCCGGTGTGCAATGGTACAAAATTCTACTGTCTGGGAGTTGGTGATTCACTACAAATCACCCGGATGGAGGCCTGGTGAACCCCATCTCGTACTAGCCACAAAAGGCAGCAGAATCTTCAGCTAGTTGAAGGAGGCGGCCTCAAATGAAAGAAAAAGAAGAACTTTTCTGTAGTGTTAGCTGTTAATGACAGCAAGGGAATTATACATTCCTGGATAATGTCCTTGATGACAGTGACAATCACGCGAGCTCTCGCTGGATCGTGCTCTCGCGAGAGCAGAGTAAAAATGGCGGCGGTATTTTTTGGGGTCTATTAAAGTTTATTATGCCCCAGTGGGGCTAAATGCAGTACGTTAGTTACTAATAAAGAATAGGAGGGTTGTGCTATGTTCTTTCTACATCTATGCTTTACACGTTTCTTCTCTCTTTTTGAGAAATTTGTAAAAAAAAGTTTTTCCAATACGGCATGATTGAAGACATTATAAAGTCATCCTTTGTTAGATGTACATATTTCTGTTCTAACTGTACATGTACCTCATAAACAAAGGTATTGCGTAAATCGCTGTATAGTAGACACTCTACGATGAAGTGGATTAATAATAATAATTCTATATCTTTCACATGTTTATTTATTTATTTATTTATTTGAACTTTGTCACAAGGACAGGACAGGGGGAACAGGCAGATACCTTTTCCACGCCCCTGTACATTTTCCTTGTGGATTTAAGATTAAGGATAGAAAAATATGCACACATTTATTCTGCTATTTCTGTTGTACCAATATGTTATCATGTGTTAAAGGTTTTCATCTTTTTTTCACCAAAATTCTAGATCTGTGTTTGCACCGCTTAGAGGAGGAAGCATCCAATCGGCGTTGCCATAGCGACGGCAGTGTGTCAACACAAATAATCATCTAAAGTGTTGACCTGAAACCTTACTATTGTTTGTTGAGTTTTTAATACTTTAACTATGAGACATGATTTAGACGATGTTGTGTTTCATAGAGTTAGCTCATATAAAGTAAATTCTATCTAAAATCTAGAAATCTAACTTTAAAAATATGTAAATATGTGTATTTTCTCATACACTTCACTCCCATATTTCTTCAACTGGCAAACATGTATCTTTGAAACCTTAGCTAAGGCCTGGTAAGGCCACAACTTCGTATATCAGTGGATTGATGTTTTGACATTACAAAGTACGACTAATAAACATAGCGTAATAATTAGACAAGAATGTTTTTAAAACAGAAGTACTTAAAATCAACATAACATATATATAGCGATTATTTTTCTCCCATAACGCAATTATCATTCGCTTACTACGACCTGATGCCTTTTACTTCTTCCGAAACAAAATTTACTATCCAACTAGGTTTTTTTTTCTGTATTGTTTGTATGTCTCTCTCTCTCCTCTCTCTCTTTCTCGATCTCTATATATTTAGATGAGCTAGTGTTTAGAATACGAAATGCTTTCTTACTTTTGAAACTTTCTTAACCTCACTTTTCACTGTATTTTCTTGAACATTATGACTTCCACATCTTTCTACATGAATAAAAACACTCAAATGATTGAAGACTGATTTATTCAGATGTCGGATCAAGAGTTGTTTTTGTTGACAGGCGGTCTCCATGACGACGGCCACTTTAATGACTCTTCTGCTCAATTGCGGCAAACGCAGACCTGAGGAAAGAAAAACACGAGAAAAATTATCATAATGAAACATCATATTCCAACACACTTTCAGACAATGCTAAACATCCCCTACATACCCTACCCCCCCACCCCACCCTACACACACAAGGCACAAAGTCCACGTTTATCTAAAGATTTTTTTAACGATAAACTCATTTGTATCACCAATGGCGTCCTATAAAAACTGCTCAGTTTGTCATGGAGGAAAAAAAGTTATCTCTGATTTTTTTGTTTGAAATCCTCTCAAAAAGGCAGAAAATGCCATTTTAGGTTCTATTTTCAAAATTTGTCGGGGGAGCATGCCTCCGGACCCCCCCTAGGAACCTCGCCTCTTGGTCGCTCGCTGGTCTGACAGACATTAGGAAGAAACCCCCCCCCCCTCTTCAAAATCCTTGCTACGGGCATGACAAACCCACAATCCCTAGCCTCTACCAGGCACCGCGGATCGCTGGAAAAATAGTAGAAATTGGCCGAAATAAAGGGATAGTATACCAGAGAATATCCCGGGCCACTTCAAAGAACGTAGCGACCCCCGACAGGCTCAGGGGGTCGCGAATTGGATCTTCTATGGCCCGGGATATTCTCTGGTATACTATCCCTATATTTCGGCCAATTTCTACCGTTTTTCCAGCGATCCGCGGTGCCTGGTATTGTTTATTTGTTTATTGTCAATTTGCACATAAAAAAGTAACAGTATGAAATGAAATTATATACAAGCAAATATGCTGGATAGCCCGAGAAACCTGAAGGTTTGTCTAGTGGACTCTCCCAAATCCTATTAATCTTATGATCTCTTATTTACATACATTTATTACATTTACATTTAACTTGCAATGTATTAAGGGACAAGCAAACAAATTAACTCAAAAAAGGTACAAGATAATATAAAGTTAACACGGCGAATTAAATATCTAAACAATAAAGTTAGACAATCAAGAACATATTATATTGAACAAAAAAAAATAAATTTCCATTAGTCAAATCATAAGTTATTATGAGTAAGAACAACATAAGAAACCAATATTGACACAAAGAAAATATCATGGTAGATGCTACACAATCGCCACACTCACATTTTCCCCATTGCAGTATCCGCCACGGTTGCCCAACACAAGGCAGTGAGCTGCGCATGCGGCGTCTCCGAAGCTGGCTCCTCCGAAGGAGAAGCTCAGAAGATCGCAGGTGCTTCAGAAAAAACAACAACAACAAATTACAAAACAATAACAACAAATTACTAAACAACAAGAGTTCGCAGGGCACAAACCTTCGCAATAGCTTGAGGAGTGGGTAAATGTGTACCGGCCCTACTTTCCAAGGCGTGTTTTCAGGCATTTTTATCGGGGTTTCTTTTTTGTACTGGAACTCCCCCCCCCCCAAATTTGGAATTTTTTTTGGGTTGGGGAAAAATTCCACTGCAAAAAAGAAACCCCGATAAAAAAGCATAATAACACGCCAAAAGATAAGCCAAAACTCACTCGTCTTCTCTCATAAATTTAAACTTCACGACAGCTGTGTCGTTGTCACTTCAGTTCTTCTTATACAACGTTTATGGTCTTTATTTTCGAAATTAAGGAATTTAAGGAATCATGTGTTTTTCTTTCTCATATTGTCTTTTTCGCTCTCTCGCGTTAGACTTGGGATGTCATCCATAGAAGTTACCTGCTCTGGCCTAAACCGTATATAAACTAGAATATAAGTACTATTTGCGTTTACCGTTACTTTGTCTTTGTCCATTTATTTGTATCAACTGATGTAATTTTGAGTAAAAAGAAACCTCTACTTACATGCGTGGCTGGGCGGCCATCTTGGGCTTGGCCTGTTGGTAAAAAGAGAAACTTGGTCAATTGTGTAACAGTGGGGGGGGGGGGTTATAGGCGCTACCAACTGATCCGGCCGATGGGTCCAGACCTTTTAGCGGAATGGTTAGAGCTTTGGGGTATGAGCTGACGCCCAGGTTTGGCGTGGGTTCGATCCCCGGCCCGGTGAAACATTACAAAATCAGTGTGAAACATTACAACCCCACCGGACTACAAATACATCAATGCCCTCTTGTAAACGGTTGGAAAATTTTAGTTTTTTATGCATGACACGCAGATAAATATGGAGAATTTAGGATCTGGAAAGAACTCACCTCTGCATTAGCCAGAACGGCCAGCACGAGAGCAACAACGAGGAACTTCATGATGCAGTGGGTCCGGTTAGAGTCAGAAATATCGTCTGCAAAGGTCTTTGTTTTCGCGCTTTTTTATACTATTTGCGCGGGAAAAATTCCATCTGGGCCGGAATCATGATTCAGCCAGAATTTTTATCATCTGTTGACGTACTATATTTGGGGATATCTCTTAACCTTCTACCTACATACCCATCGCAGGCACGCGGCCTTGAGTGAGTGTCTCACTTTTGTGTCGGGATTCCAAGGTTTACTAGTACACAAAGTCGTTTCTCGTTTCCGCTATTGGTGGAACCAACTTCGGTGACGGCGACTCCGCATACGCAACTGGCTGGCTCAATTCTGGACCAGAGTTTATTTAAATAAGGCAATGTTGATATGGACCATACTGTAAATGGTAAAAAATAAGCGAATATATGTTGTATGTTGCAAAACAAAGTATTGGAAAACGAAACCAATGTCATAGAATGCCGAAATCAATTCAGGAAAAGAAGAGAATGTGAAGAAATGAAAATGAAGAGTGTATTACCATTCCCCATACCATACTCTGTGTGTTTAGTCATTTGTTCAAACTTTATGACCACGTAGATTTCATAATAAAGAGAAACTTTTTTGCCAAACTTTTTTTTTATTCTGCCATACTGGCTGAGGACCCGTAAATAGACCATACAATGCATACAGATCTAAATCTTAAGGTTGTTGGTTCAAATCCGTGGCAGGTCACACAGCTGTGTCGTTGGGCCACGTTACCACTATTTCCTCACATGACAGGTGAAAACGAGTACATAGCTTCGGTTAGGGACATCCTCTCGGATGGGACGTAAAGCAGGAGGTCCCGTTTTGAGGAGAACCACACCTCGAGCACGTTAAAGATCCCACCACACGTATCGAAAAGAGCAGGAGTTCTTCCAGGGTGGGTGTACAGTGGTTCAAACCTTACAGTCCGGTAGTACTGGTGTGTTACGCTTAATGGCTGTTCACAAACAAACAAACAAATAAACAAACAAACAAACAAGTATCAGTGACTCAAAGCTCAGATCACTAACCCTACTTCAATACTTGTCAGTGTATTTTCTTAAATACTTTCTAAAGTGGGAAACTTTGTCTTCTGCCTTTTGCTTCATGAAAACAAATAAAAACACCCAAATGATTGAAAACTGATTTATTCAGATGTCGGATCAGGAGTTGTTTTTGTTGACAGGCGGTCTCCATGACGACGGCCACTTTAATGACTCAGCTGCTCATGAGCGGCACGTGCAGACCTGAGGAAAGAAAATCACGAAAAAATTATTAGATATTCATACAAGAAATATATAAGAAATATATTCATTTTAAATTTCATAGTTTTAACCCACCTTTTGGCCATTGCAGTATCCACCACCGTAGCCCAAAATGAGACAGTGAGCTGCGCATGCGGAGTCCCCGAAGGCGGCTCCTCCGAAGGAGAAGCTCAGAAGGTCGCAGGAGCTACAGGGACAACAACAACAAATTACCAAACAACAACAACAACAAATTACCAAACAACAACAACAACAAATTGCGAAACAACAACAAATTACCAAACAACAACAACAAATTGCAAACAGTACATGGGGTCAAGTAAGTAGTTAGTATTCATAGTTTGCTGAGTGGGTCAAGGTGTATTTTCGACTCTCAAAAAGTTTACAACAACTGTTGCTTTATAGCTTCAGTTCTTCTTAATTACAAGGTTTTTTTTCTTGCCAACCCAAATACAAATATTTACTTACACGCGTGGCTGGGCCGCCATCTTGGACTTGAACCTCGGCGCAGCCTGTTGGTAAAAATAATACGACTCTTTAGTTTTAAAGTCTTTAGTCTTAAAGTAGAACACACAAGATTATGTTATGGGTTAGGAAAGAAGTTAAAGTGATCTCGAACCAGTTTTAGCAAATACACTCAGTAAACAGTTGACTAGTCGTGACAGAGAACACAGACGCTATGTACAGTATTTACAGGTTCATTGTACCGGGACAAATCCCCAAGCTGTTTTCGACAAGTAACGTTACATAACGTTACAATAAAATTATTTAGGACCTGTGCATGACACACAGATGAAAAATAAGACGAAAGAACTCACCTCTGCATTGGCCAGAACGGCCAGCACGAGAGCAACAACGAGGAACTTCATGATGCAGTGGGTCCGGTTGGAACGTGTCCGTACGTGCGTCAGAAATATCGTCTGCAAAGGTCTGTGTTCGCGCGGGCTTTTTTCTTATACTATTTGCGCGGGAAAAATCCCATCTGGAACGGAAATATGATTTAGCCAAAACGTATCATCTACTAGTATTGACATACTATAACCTAGATATGTGTGTCAGGCCAGTCACTTTTACATGCCTCTCCTACCAACGACACCGATTTTGAAAGTACAACATTTTCTGATCATCTGCACCGAGGAACAGTGGTTTGGAACCTGCATGATGAAAAATGTTATTTTGAGAAGCAAATAGTGATTAACCTAGTATCGTGATTACATACAATTGCAAGACTTTAAAATATCTGCTTTGTTTGCCATACATAACCACTGTCGTAGTATCATAGGCACACAAAACTAAGCCATCGGACAGTATGTGGCCCCACTTTTTGGCGACGCCTCTGGAGCGATGCGGATATGTCATTCGACTTTGGCCAGTCCTCAGGCAATCTGATCTCATGTCAGACGCGTTTGATATCAACGACGAAATGTATCAAACTTGGTTTATGGATATATGAATAAAAACACTTAAATGATTGAAGACTGATTTATTCAGATGTCGGATCAAGAGTTATTTTTGTTGACAGGCGGTCTCCATGACGACGGCCACTTTGATAATGACTCAACTGCTCATGAGCGGCAAACGCAGACCTTAGGAAAGAAAAGCATAAGCAAATAATTAGATATTCATGCATGGATTTTTTTCATTTTTAACAATTTGTGTCTAAAATTCGCAAGAAAAACGTAAACCAAACAACACTTCTTATGACAACAGTGAACACAACGTGCAAAATTATCGTCCCATCCGTTTAGAAGTAGTCATGATAATGAAATAATCGTTTGAGAATATGTGTTAACGTTAACAAACTTAGAAACCTTACCAGGCCTAGCCTAGGGAAATAGTGTGGTGTTTCGGTTTCCTGACCAGCCTTTTTGGGTCGACCACCATTTCGTTCTAAAATGTTATTATGTTTACCGAAGGAACCCCACCTTCCCCCATGCACACCCACACACACACACACCTTCTGGCTGTTGCAGTATCCCCCACGGTAGCCCTGGATAAGGCAGTGAGCTGCGCATGCGGAGTCCCCGAAGCTGGCTCCTCCGAAGGAGAAGCTCAGAAGGTCGCAGGAGCTACAAGGACAACAACAACAAATTACAACAACAACAAAAAAAAACCAATTAGCAAACAACAGGAGCTACAGGGACTTCAACAACAAATTACCAAACAAGAATAAATTAGAAAAAACCAAGAACATGAGTTCGTAGAACTCAAATTCCTCCGTTAAGTTGTGCTAGTAGTTTGCGGAGTTGGTGAATGTGTATTTCCCCTCTCATAAAGAGCCAACAGCTTTTGCCTTGTGGCTTCAATTACTGTTACGACTTTTCTGGTCTCTATGTTTAAAACCAAAGCATATTTTTTCGTCTTAGATCTAGTGGTTGCAGATGATTTCATTCATAAAATCTACTTGCTTTTAGCTAACCCGAATGTCAAATGTACTGAACCTCTACTTACATGCGTGGCTGGGCGGCCATCTTGGGCTTGAACTTTGGTGCGGCCTGTTCGTAAAAAGAAGGCTCCTTTATAGCCTTAAAGTAGCGCGCAACAAAGCAAAATATGTCACAGCAAAATCAGTGTCCTTAACTCATGGTCTTAGCAGTTCCAAGGTCAAACTCAATAGAGGTCAGACGTTGAAGTAGCGGTCAGACACGTAGACAAATACGAATGTAAGTATGACACTCTATATAAATATGAAAAATATAGATCTGTGAGGAACTCACCTCTGCATTAGCCAGAACGGCCAGCACGAGAGCAACGATGAGGAACTTCATGATACAGTGGGTCCGGTTGGAACGTGGGTCAGAAATATCGTCTGCAAAGGTCTGTGTTCGCGCCTTTTCTTATACTTTTTGGGCGGGAAAAATTCCATCTGGGCCGGAATCATGATGCAGCCAAAACTGGCTCATCTGTTGACATACCAGTATCATCAGTTGACATACTGGTATCATCTATTGACATACTGGTATCATCTATTGACATACTAGTATACTATCTTACTGGTATAACCTCGATATGTCTGTATGCCAATAGTTATCACTTTTACATAACTACCCCCCTCCAATGCCTGTCTTTACCATTTAAGGATGGGCTGTTATTTTCTCTCCATATAGTGCAAAAATGTACTTTGTAGACAGAACTGTGGAACACGTACTGGGATTCAAAGGAAAGAAATGCTTATAATTATTTTATTTATGTAGAACAGAAAATTTCGTACTCCTAATAAAACTAGCCAAACCATGTATCATTAGCTCCATATGTTCGTACATCTACAACTGTCTTAAGAATTTCGAAGCGAGAAGTTTAACCTGTGAATAGTATAGTTGACATTAGTATGTATAGTTTTAGTAAGATACTACTGTAATTTTAATTCTGCTTTACACATGACCTGTACTTATTTTGTAAGAGCATAAACATGCGATAAAGGTCATTCATTCATTCATTAATCCATCCATCCATCCATCCTTCCATCCATCCATCCATCCATCCATCCATCCATCCATCCATCCATCCATCCATCCATCCATCCATCCATCCATCCATCCATCCATCCATCCATCCATCCATCCATCCATCCATTCATTCATTGAATTCGTCCTCTGTGTTACAAGGTCACTGGACGTAATGCAATACAAACTTAAGTATCCACGTGTTTTAAACAGACACGTGATTATGACTATTCCGATATTTTCTTTCCTGTAGATTACTGATAACAAAGTTGACTCAACAGTAGAGCAAACAAGGCCTTCCTATCAAAGAATGCAAGTCATCGGTTATGCTAAAAATAAGTAGCAATTTTTTATTCGTGTTTCCGAATGTATATAATTGCCCTGTGTTTTATCTTGTATCCTTAAATGTAAAGTAGACCCTAAAGAGTACTGTGTACTTGTGAAATGATTTTAATAAAATTGTTAATTGTTAATCTGAGCTAAAAAAAAAGCTGTTTGATGCATTTGATATGAACGACGAAATGTATCAAGTTTGGGTTAATTTTGACACCATATATTTGAATCCTCGAATGTTTGAAAGCTACATATTTAAGCGGCTCTATCTTAACTATCGTCTCGCATCTGTGAAACTGGTATCAAAGTTCACCGTGTGTGACACGTAGCATTATATAATGTATATGTTTATTCACAAAGTAAATCTCACTCAAAAGTGGTTCAGAGGTGACAAAACTGACCTTGATGACACCACGTGCTCCCATCGACTGTGCAAATACTTTAGCAGCTAGTTTGTTCAATCGACCATTTCTAAATGCCATTCAAAATTAGTAATTCGGTCAATATAGACCCAGTATGGCTGACTGAAGACGCGAGCTGTGGTGAAGCCGCATTGCTCTATATTGACCAATGGGAGAAGCAGCAAAAGGATGGCAACTTTTTCGGCGTGAACTGCATTACTTAAAGTAGTCACAAGGTGTCGCTGTCAGCATAAAAAGGAACCTCGGCGTTACTGTTTTACTGTAGTGCCAGGAATGGATTAATGGATGGAAGAATGAGGGAGTGAATGTGTGAATGAATGAGATCTTTCTCTTGATACCATGTCATATTTGAAATGTGGCCAAAGCTACACTTACACGTTGAATGTAATAGTTTGCCCTTTGAGCTTCCGACCAGGTGCAGAGTTTGGTGGAGAGTCGCGACAGAAAATTTTAAACGGGGCATGTGCTAGAAAGGGCAAACCCTTCCCCACCAACCCCTGCTTGGAGAGTACATGTAGCATACCCCCTCCCCCCTCCCCATCCTTCCTACTCCTCCCCTATTCCTGACAACTCTGGGGCGAAATAGTCTCCACCAGACTTCTTTTGCAGGCTGAATAAATCGTAGAAATCGGCCTAAAAGGGTATTAATTGACCGGCTACCTTCTCTGGCCAATTAATACCCTTTTTAGGCCGATTTCTACGATTTATTCAGCCTGCAAAAGAAGTCTGGTGGAGACTAGGGCCGAGATGCCTGCACGTACGCAGGAACGGTTGTCGGACCGGTCGGACCATGACAAGGCAGCGGCGAGAGAACAGGAGATATCCAGCCTTCGGTGTTTATGTTGTCCGACAAAAGACTGTGACATATGAAGGGGGAGGGGGGCGTGACGGGACATGCACACAGACAAAGACCACACTTGTTCTGCCTCATTCCTCCCCTCACCTGTTGGCGCAAACAAACCAGAAGTCTGTTTTGTGTTCATCTGCTACTTGTCTCAGAGACAACTGTGTAAGAAACAGGAGGAGCGAGTAGAAAAAAAAAAACTGACCCGGCTGGGATCGAACCCTAGCCTGGGTGCCATCCGAATTTGTAACGGCTCCCCCGAAAAAAATTTTCGGGGGAGCCGTTACAAATTCGGATGGCACCCAGGCTAATCGAACCCAGCCAGCTAGCTTACAATCCGACGCTCCTACCGAATCGGCTAAAAGGTCTAGACCCATCGGCCGGGTCAGTTGGTAGGGCCTATGAACCCCCCACTGTTACAACTGCAAGTCAAAATGGACGATACGTGAGGTAAAAAAAATTAATGAACGAAAGAACTTTATTGTACATGTTATGCTCTTACAGGCTATTAGAAGTACAGGTCATGTTTAAAGCACAGAGATATTACAGGGATATCTAGAAGTTTGGCTGGCGAAAGAAACACCAATACAAAAAAGAAAGTCCGACAGAAACATTTAAAACAAGTCAGAAATAAGCCAAACGCTACACCTCTGCTTGGAGAGTAGTACCCAGAATACACTAAATGACGTGAACCCTAGAATAGCTTTCGCCTTGCCCGATGACATGTAATCGTGGGTCTTCATCGCCTTCCCCACATTTCTGGAGAGTCAACCATGTCAGCTATGTCCGTGTTTTTTCTGTAAATTCTTCCATAGGAAATCCATGCATTTCACGGAATTTGCCGAACGCATGCGCTTCTCTAAACAGATGTTACACGCTGTTCATAGCCTCTATCATGCTTCGGGAGGCGGCTGGAAAGATTGGCCAAATAGAGAGATAACATGCTGAGGGAGTTGGTCCGCACCAA